GAAGGAGAGCATGAGATTTGTCGTTGGCCCGGTGTAGAAGCTCCACGGCTACACTAGAAGGTGCTTGCGGCCCAAATCCCAGGTTCTTGGGCAATTTCGTTCGATCAAGGAAGGAGCCAACCAGGAACAACCAAGTCCTTGTTGGTAGAGGAAATTGAGTCAAGAACTGTGAACAATTCTGCAATTCTGCACCAAGAACACCTGACTCTGGGTGTCACCATCGCGAAAACTCGAGAGCTTTCTTTCAACGGCCCGATGTCGCTTCCGACCTGTTCTAACCGGCATACAAATGTGTGAAGCTTTGACAAGACCTGTGGTTCACTTCTCGGACTCCAAGGTCACCCCCTCTTCCCGTTCCCGACTCTGCCTGGCTGACGTCGGTCAATGCTGACATCACCTGGCTGAGGAAGAGCAACCTCAAACATTTGACCTGAAGTTGCCTAAACCTCAAAAAGTGATAGAGTTCTCCCGAGAGAGGCGGGATAGCAGCTCTGGAACGCGAAAAAAAAGGAAAGGCACCGGTACCCCGCACCGATGCCGAAAAAAGACTGACGAGGACTGGTCGCTCTGGTGGGATGCGTCAAAATCAAGGAATTAGGGCCGCCAGGGCTCGGCTCACGCTCCCATGACCGCCCCCATCACGCCCTGATTCGGGAAATGCCAAAAAATAGCACATGTTTCTCTCGGAGCGGCGCCAAATCGATTCAGGAATGGGCCTCAAGAACCTGAAAAAACTGTTGATCTTCGTTGAACAGAGTATGCTAGTTCATGAGCCTTCGAGTCCTTGAAGGGATGGAATCCGCCTTTCCAAGCTCTCCCCACCCTGCCTGGGAGCTTCTAGCTCGAAAGCCTCGGCTTCTAATGACTGAGGAGGGGAGGGGTTTGGTGTTCGGGGCCCTGCGAGTGGGATGGAACAGGCCCCAAAAGCAGGCAGAAACAGCGATGAGAAGAACTTGCTTGGCCCAAATTGGGGCCCAAAATGAGCGAGATGATAAACCCTCCATGTTCCTTGGTGTCCCTCACCAGGACTATGGCCATGAGGATGTGCGACTTTGGCTTCCTGGGCATCGTTGACAGAGTCTCTGAACATGCGACGAGTCCAAGGCTCATCTGTTGACGGTGCAGTGCTCATTTGAGATTCCGCTGTTCACCTAATGGACCTACGCATTCAATTGACAAAAGAAAGGTCAAAAGGTCATTTGATCAATAAAAATGGCCTCTCCTTTCATGCAAAGCCCGACCTCAAGGCCCTCTTCCATCTGCCGTGCCCAGGCTTGTGGACCGCCTCATTCGTGCGGCTCGAGCACGAACCCGGGATCTCCCCACCTCATTCCCTGTCAAAGCATGGCACATCGCTAGCGAGAGCGGGCAGATGAGTTCATGCAGGGATGGGGAGAATGCCGCTGCGACATCAACTTGGTCGTTCGAGGTTTGGTCCTTTCGCAAGAGAAAGCGGCCTCGTTTCCCTTTCGCATGGGCTAAACGAAGCAGTTTCCAAGCGGGTGTCGTGCAATGGCCCATGGGTGGGTCTAACGATGTCTACCTACCTGGAAGTCGCAAATCTGCGCAGGGTCCAGCCTCGATGTAGCCTTAGTTGGAACACACACACACACACACACGTCTTGAGTCACTGTGTGTGTGTGTGTGTCCATTGGGAAGGTTCCCTGCTGACACCAAAGTCTCAAACATATATACATATATTTTGTAGTGGACTGCAGGATGCAAGAGATACTCCGAAAGCTGCTTTGTTGAACTTATTTGAACACGCTAAATGGCTGCTTCCTGACGGACAGAATCTGAGAGATCTGAGAGACACTTCAAATTGCCTGCTAATCACGGCGCAGTTGCTCATCTGTGGTGCTCTCGAGTCTTCCAAAGCGATGGGTCCCCAGACCCGTGGGACAAAGCATGTGCTTCGTGAAGTACCTTGGCAGACTCCCCGAAAACGCCCGGGCGTTCCACCTCTCCATAGCCTATGGTCTGCATGGATTGACGTTCGCAGAAGGTGTTTGTAGGACCACTGCGAAAGCAGAAAATCGTGCGCACCAACTTGATTGGCAAATCGGTGTGATCAATCGTGAAGCACCGCGGACCGTAGATAGGCTCCAGGACATGGCCAAATCCGGGCAAAGGGGCACAAAAAGGTCCCGAATGACTTATGACCACTCCTTACTATAGTCCAAAAACCGGTGATTAGCAGGGATAGTTCTGCCTACAACTGGTTCCTGACTATACCTAGACACTCCATATACCCAGACACATATGCCGCCCCATTAACCCCTCTGGCACCACCCCAACTGATCTGCAAAATATGGCAGTCATCGATCCACAACTCACTGAGGAAGCCGGCACCCATCGCGGAACACGCGGTGATAGGCAGGCAGAGGGTCAGGTCATGCGGATGCAAACGACTGCCAAATGAAAGATGTAGGACTTGGGAATCAAAAGTTCAGGTCCGCACTCGTACTCTCTGTTCTTTGAGGGCTTTGTGCACCCAAACATGTCCAATGTCATGGGAAAACTCCGGCGGTTTCCAGTGACCGTCTTGCTGGTGGTTCGAGTGCCAACAGGATCCGGTCTGAATGATCTGTGAAACTCGTTGGACGAATTAGCGCGGCGCTCTCCACTATGAGCTGTTTGGACGATCTTTCATGCTAGGGAAGCGCGGGTTGCTTTTGAGCCAAAGAGATGCAATTCCTTCGACACTGCAAATGTTGCAGAGAAAAGGCCTTGTCTTCACCAGAGAATAAGTTAAAACCGTTTCAAAGCCCAAAAAAAAACGAAAGCTTCCGTCTCAATCCCTTCCGACTGCCACTCGTTGGCCCGACTGCCACGTGTCGTGCTGAGAAATAGTGACCGCACCCCGAGAATCCCTGACCCTGATGGATTTCACGGGTGGTTTCCACCTCCAATCTGAAAAACACCCCGAGAAAGCAGGTGAAAACAAGCTGACAAGCCTTGTCCATGATGTCTGCAAAGATGCCAAGCTTCTTGGCTTCAGTGATGACGCACATCCTGCTTCAGTGTTGGGGCTCACATGGAGCTGCTTGCGATGAGTCCTGTAAAAATCCGCTTACTGTATTACTGAAGAAAAGGCTTTAGGGTTTAGGCTGTGAAGTGAAGGACTAGTAGAACTAGAAGTATGGAATGCTCATTTGGGACTGCAGAAATGCCACCTTCTGCGCTGGCCGTTTCCGTGTCAAGGCCGCAAGCGAAGCGGCCGGTTTCCGTCTCATCTCAAAAGCCACCTCTCAAGGACGAGTGTTCGGGACCATTGGAATCTTACAAGCAAAAAAAAAAGAATTTTCCCATATTCTATCTACAAACTTGAGGATTACTACTAGACTATCTACAAACTTGAG